ACACACACACACACACACACACATATATATATATAATTGTTTTGTTAAGTGTTGTCAAGTTGGTTCTGACTCATCATGACTCTGTATGGAATTTCCAAGGAGTGACTGGTGATTTTGAACTGCTGACCTTGTGTTTAGCAGTTCTCTGTGTGTGTGTGTGTGTGTGTGTGTGTACACACACATTGTTAAGTGTCTTCGAATAGCATTTGACTCATAGTCACCTGCATAGAGTTTATGAAGAGCAGCTGGTACATTTAAACCACCAACCTTTCTGGTTAAGCCAGTGCATTTCCTACAGCCCAACACCAGGACTATTTATAAAATAAAAATAAACAAAAAATAGTTTAGAATTTAGAGTCTCTGAATTAAGAGTTTTTAATGGCATGAACATAAAATTATTAGATTAATATACTGTAAAGTCTGTTTGGTTATTATTAAAAGAAAATTATTTGCCATAAATGTTGGTTGCACCTGCCTCAACTGTCTGGAGCCTGACTGAGTCTAGATGGAGACAGAATGCCTTTTTTGGTGCCATATGATCAGAACCCAGAATCCATGCATGTACACATCCTAATCAGGTTCTTGTTTCCCAGTTTGTCATAATGATCAGTTAAAATTAGGAGGAAGAGGCAACATCTCGAAGGCAGTAGCAGTCTAGAACTGTATATTTTAGGAGCAAAAACTTGTAAACTTTTATATACCACCATATAACATGTGTTCTAAGTAACCCTTGGTCATTGAGAAAGGATTAAATTATGTTTACTATATTTTAAAATAGTGAAGAAACGCACAACATGTTTGAATGATTAGATATATTTCAAAATAAGTAAAATTTTAAAGTTATATTCTTAAACAGGATCACTTAGTTATCTTGAATATTAATCAAATGGTCCTGTTTGGACTATTTCCCTTCCTGAGGAAACCAGATACACAAGGAGATTTTTGACTGTAGAATCAGAATTGTATAGCTGAAAGTTATTTTAGAGATCAGATTCAGAGTCTTCAAAGACCAAGAGTTGTTTTACTTCATAGAATGAGTTATTAGAATTAGAGGTTAGGTTTCCTGGCTGTTGGTTCAGTTTTATTTGTTGATGTATACTAAGTTTGAGAGTACTTAAAATTTATGTGTAATAACGAGTTCTGTTTTTCATTTGTCTGCATGATGGACTAGTATTCAAGATTTGAAAGAAAGAATTCGACAACGTACCAACATAACACTGGGGCCAAGTATTGATACTCATGGGGAAACTTTCCTGTCCCAAGAAGTGGTGGTTAATCTTTTACAAGAAACCAAACAAGCCTTTGAAAGATGTCATAGGGTAAGAATTACTGTAAATTTATGTTCTTTATATATAGTTGTTTTGGTGGGTTAATGCGCTGGCTGGACTGCAAAGTTGCTTTGAATCACAAGGTCAGAGGTTCAAGCTCATCAGCTGCTCCTTGGAAGCCTTATATACAGGGTCACTATGGGTCAGAACCGACTCGACAGCACTTCACAACAACAAACATAGGTTTGAGATTCAAGTCTATCCAGAGACATCGTGAAAGAAAGGGTTCATGCTGTACTTTTGCACATAAGCCATCAAAAACCCTAGGGAGTACACTTTACCCCGACACACGCGGTTGCCATGAATCCAAATGAGCTTTGCAGCCACTATGTATGAGAGAGCTTCAAAAGCTTAGTGGAAAAATTCTATTATCTTTGAATTCCTTTTTTCTCCAAACATTTTGAAAAACTCTTTTATAAATACAAATAGAAAACAAAGGATACACATGCACAATTTATGTAAAAGAAAATTGAAATTGCCTTTTAAGACATTTAGCCTCAATAATTAGGGACATTAAACTAGAGCTCTGGTAGCATAGTGGTTATGAATTGGGCTGCAAACCTTAAGGTCAGCAGTTCGAAACTACCAGCCTCTCTGCGGGAGAAAGATGAGGCTTTCTACTCCCGTAAAGATTTACACCCTCAGAAACGCTATGGGTCGGAACCGACTCGACGGCACTTAACAACAACAAAAAACTTAAACTAGTTAAACACCATCTCATTTACATTTGTTGTTAGGTACTGTCAAGTTGGTTCAGTTGTTACACACCTATGTACAACAGAGCGAAACACTGCCTGGTGTTCCATCATCCTCACAATTGTAACATTTGAACCCATTGCTGCTGCTCTGGTGTCTATTCATCTCTTTTTCACTGACCCTCCACTTTGCCAAGAACAATGTTTTTCTCCAGGAACGACTGGTCCCATCTGATAATATGTCCAAAGTATGACAGACCAAGGTTTGCCATCCTGGCTTCTAAGGAGCATTCTGGCTGTACTTCCTCCAACAGATTTGTTTGTCCTTCTGACAGACCAACACCGTAACTCAAATGCATCATTTCTTTTGCAGTTTTCTTTATTCACTGCCCAACTTTCACATGCATATGAGATTATTGAAAGTGTCCTGACTTAGATCAGGCACACCTTAGTCCTCAGACTGACATCTTTGCGCTTCAACACTTTATTAGAGGTCTTGTTCAGCAGATTTGCCTGATGCCATACATCCTTTATTTCTTGACTGCTGTTTTCATGAGTGTTGGTTGTGGAACCAAGAACAATGATGTCTTTGACAAACTTATTTCTTCTTCTAACATGATGTTATTTATTGGTCTAGTTGTAAGGATTTTTGTTTTCTTTATATTGAGGTGCAATCCATACTTAAGGCTGTGGTCTTTGATCTTCATCGGTAAGGATTTTAAGTCTTCATTGCTTCCAGCAAGCAAGGTTGTATCATGCATATCTCAGGTTGTTAATGAACCTACCTCAATCCTAATGCACATTCTTCTCTATATAGTCCATTTTAGATTATTTGCTCAGCATACAGATTGAGTAAGTATGGTGAAAGAATGTAATCCTGGCCACACACCTTTCCTGATTTTAAACCATTCAGTGTCCCCTTATTCTGTTCAAACGACTGCTGCTTGGTCTATGAGCAGGTTCCTCATAAGAACAGTCAAGTGTTCTGTGATTCCCATTTACATTAGATTGGCAAAAATTAAGAAGACTGACAATACTAAATGTTGCCATGGATATGTACTTACAGGAATTCTTCAAACACGGCTAATGGTAGTGAAAATTGGTATAGTTACTTTGAGAGTAATTTAGCAGTTTCTTAGAGAAGCTCATGTGTATATGGTATGTCTAACATGCATAGTGGTGGTGTTTGTTATCGTGAAAAACTGAAAGCTAGTATAAGTCAATAAAATGAATTGGTAAATTAGTGTTGTTACTGTACTATTAAACTGTACTAGTTAATTAAGTGCATAAACATGAAAAAATACTAAAAAGACAATGTTGAGTGAAGAGAGAAAGGTAGGGGAAATATATTCAGCATTATACTGTATAAATTTTTTTTTTAATATGATTTTTTAGGGGTGTGCATACATACATATACACACACACACAAATGAAACAACAACAAAAGAATAGAAACAAACATGGGGATGATACATTTACAATAGCGGTTGTCTTATGAGAAGGGGTATTCAAGGAATCTTTTTTTGTTATTTTTGTTGGTGTTAGTTGTTGGTGAGCTGATTCGAAGTATGGCAGCTCTGTTTGTGTAGAGTAGTAGAACTGTAAGTCCATAAAGTTTTTTGTTTTTTTTAACTTTTATTGTGAGTTATGGGAGAACATTAGCTTTACATTCACACTATTGTATGTCATTACATTGCCATGGTTACAATCCCCTCCATGCATCATTAACCAACCAAAGAGTATACCCCGCAAGCCTGCCCTTTGGTCATCAGCACACAGCCCCTCTCCTTCTTTGGGTCTAGAGTCTCCAGTTGCTCCATCTCTCCACATCATCATCTCTGCCTCCATCACTGGCATCGCTGTTTCTCTGGGTAGGGTCCTGCACTCCGCTTTTCTCCTTTGATGGTCCCAGGGGCTAAATCCATAGAGTTTTCACACAAGTCAAATGCCTTTTCCTAGTCAATAAAGCATTGTTATCCCTTTCACATCCTCTTCAGAATCTAGCTTGAATTTCTGGCATCTCCTGGTAGCGTAGTGGTTATGAATTGAACTGTGAACCGCAAGGTCAGCAGTTTGAAACTACCAGCTGTTCCGTGGGAGAAAGATAAGGTGTTCTGCTCCCGTAAAGATATACAGCCTCGGAAACCTGGTACAGGGTTAGAACTGACTCCACGGCACACAGCCACCACCACCACCACCCTGTCCATGTACTGTTGCAGTTGTTTTTGATTTATCTTCAAATTTTTGCTCGCGTGGTGATATTAATGATAGTGTTTTCCACATTTCATTGGATCACCTTTTTTCTTTGGAATGAGCACAAACATGGATCTCTTCCAATTTGTTTGTTAGGTAACTGTCTTTAAAATTTCTAGATATAGACAAGTAATCACCTCCAGTGCTTCGCTTCATCAGTTTGTTGAAACATTTCCATATATATCCCATCAATTCTTAGAGAGGTTTTTTTTGCCAATGTCTTCTGTGCAGCTGGACTTCTTCCTTCAATACCATTAGTTCTTGATCATATGGTACCTCTTGAAATAAATAAACCATGACCAATTCTTTTTGGTACATTGACTCTGTGTATTTCTTCCATATTCTAATAAGGTTTCCATTGTCATTCAGTATTTTGCCCGTAGAATCCTTTAATGTTGCAAGTCAAGTCAAGGCTTGGCTTTTATCTTCAGTTCTTTCTAACTCCAGATCTATACACATTTCATTATAATAATTTGGCTTTCTCTTCTCATACTAGCCTTGGAAATTTCCTATTCAGCTCTTTTACTTCCTCATTTCTTCCAGTCACTTTAGTTTCTCTGTGTTCAAGAGTAGGTTTCAGAGTCTCTTCAGATACCCATTTTGGTCTTTTTCCTGCTTTTTTTAATGACGTATATGATATGATGTTCATGATGTCATCTCGCATTTCCTTTGGTCGCGTCAATTGCCTAGTGTCTAATGCTTCACATCTGTAGTTGAGATTGTCTCTAAATTCAGGTGGGATATACTCAAAGTCATATTTTGTTTCTCTTGGACTAGTTTTCATTTACTTCAACGTCAACATAACTTGAATATGAGCAATTGATGATCTGTTCCACAGTCTGCCCTGGCCTTGTTTTGACTGATAGTATTGAGCTTCCTTCTCCATGGTCTCTTTCTACAGATGTAGGCAATTTGATTGCAGTGTTTTCTATCTGATGAGGTCCAGGTGTGTAATTTCCATTTATAGTGTTGAAAAGGGTATTTACAATGGATTTCTTTCTTTTCTTTCTTTCTTTTTTTTTTTTTTAGTCACTGAAGCCATTTTTTCCAATTACTGATCCTTTTATTTCCAGCTTTGCCATTCTAATGGCCAGTAATTACCAATGCATTTTGGCTGCAAGTTTGGTCAATTTCAGACTGAAGAAATTCATAGAATTCTTCAATTTCATTATCATTGGTTTTAGTTATTGGTGTAATAATTTGAGTACCAGTGGCATTAACTGGTCTTATAATCATGTGGATATTACTCCGTCACAGACAGCATTGTACTTCAAGATAGTTCTTGACACGCTCTTCTTGGTAGTGAATGCAAAATCTCGTTACTTTGTCATTCCCAGCATAGTTAATTGTTGTTGTTGTTAAGTACCGTCCAGTCAGTTTCGACTCATAGCAGCCCTGTATAGGGTTTCCAAGGAGCGACTGGTGAATTTGAACTGCCGACCGTGTGGTTGAAACCGAACTTGATGTCCATTGCATTATCCCACAATGCTATACCAGGACTCCATATGATTGTCCAACTCAAAATGGCTGATACCAGTTCATTTCAAATTCCCCTAACCACTTCCTGGAAACCCTATATTAGAGGGTCACTGTGTGTTCGAACAAACTTGACAGGAAGCCCTTAACAACAACAATGCTTTAGGATCTTGATCCTTAAGCATTTAGTGTTTGATGACTTCCAGTTTTCCTAGATGCATATTTTGTACATTCCATGTACCCATCATTAATCAGTGTTTTCAGCTGATTCTCCTTACTTTGAGTTGTGCCCTTTTAGCAGTTGAAGGTCCTGAAAGTTTTACTCCATGCACATCATTAATGTCAACTCTGCTTTGTGGAGAGACACCTCTTCTCCAGTCATATTTTGAGTGCCTTCCAACCTGAGGGGCCCATCTTCTGGCATTTTGTTTGACAGTGTTCAACTGCTATTCATAAGGTTTTTAATGGCTACCCATTCAGAAGTGGTCCGTTCACCTCTCCTTCATAGTCTGGAAATTATATTGAAACCTGCCCACCATAGTTGGCCCTGCTTTTATTTAACATACT